TTAATCGCTTTTCCTGTTACCAACAAAATGGTCTAGCCCGCAAAAACAGCGCCCACCTACTTACTGAAATTATTAGTCTACTTCATTTTTCATTTAGTGAAATTAAAGTTTTAGCAATTGGCTCCGGTTTGAAAAAAGGTCATCCAAAGTTCCCTTTTGTAAATCATGCAATTTTCAATTTGCTTTTTAATTTTTGCCTATCGTTTTGTATGACAATTCGGAAGATATAAAAACACCTCAAGCTGGTGAAGAAACTCAAGGCATTTAACTCGTGAGCTGGCTCACTCTTTCATCATTAAGACACTGCGAAGTGTGTCAATCAGGCTTTTAAACATTCATTCTACAAAAGTAATGAATTTTTTTAAGTAAAACTTTGCATAAGGATGTTTAAAAACTGAATGATGACAGCGTGGATTGTGTCATGGAAAGAACATGTAAGGTAATTCGCAAAGCATTTCCGTTGCATAGCTAGCTTCATTTGGTTACAGACCGTAAAAGGACCGTATAAGGATGACCTTATAAGGCTTTCTTAGTCCTCAGTTCGTCATAGTCTATGGTGGAGCTTTCTCTAGGTGGGAATTGAAAAAAGATATCGAAGTGTGCCTACAATAGTATGCTGGATGCGTTTCATCTTCCAACAGTAGATTAATGGGTTAAGGGTTGAATTCAGGAACAACAGGGTCACTGTATAAAACTGCAAATGCTGTAGATCGTTCCTTGGTTCGGAAATGGAAGCGTCAATAATTAACACACAAATATCAGGCAAGTAGCAAACTATGAAAACCAGATACACGTAAAGCGATGCCATCGCAGATTTCCTTTTTCTTTGAACACTTTCTCCTTGGTCATTCTGCGCTACTTGCGGGACTTGAATTTGGTTTATGTGGCGTCTTATAGTTAGGTAAAGTTTGGCGCTCAGAGAAGTTGCAGTTATAATACAGGCCGATTCAGTAATGACGAAACTCACGTACATAATGTGCCATGGAAGGAATAATCTGATCATTGAAATAAGTGCGCTTATCACCCAAATTGAGATCACGGCAGCAGCAACGTGCTTGTATGTCACAAGTTCCTGGTATCTGAGGTTAAGGTGAATTGCCAAAAATCTGTCTGCACAGAGAGCCGTGACACCAAACAATGACGCAAAAATGAACAAATTTACCGGAATAGGAAATGCGATATCTATGACATTATTAGTGTCATTGGTTGTATTATTTTGTTGAGAGTCTATGATTTTTGCGATATACATTGGCTGAACTAGTAAACCAACACCGAGATCAGAAACAGCCAGACTCAGAAGCAATGTTTTGAAATTTTTTGGCAAAGACAAAGTCTTTCCGATCGCGTAGATTGCTACAATGTTCAGTATGGTGGCGCTGTAAGAGAAGTACGCGTTTAATATGCAAAGCGTGAGATATGACCAATCCATTTGATGAACTTTTTGGGGTAGTTGCGGCGCTTGAAGCAAGTAAATTCTTGTCGGACCTTGCGAGCGATTGTTTTTTCAGTATGATCTGACCAAACCCACGTCACGGGTTGACTAAAGTTCAGAGAGTTCCAAAGCGTTTCGTAAGTTAGACTTTGATGAAAAGCAGTTTGACTGACTAAAATGCGTCTTTAATTGAGCTACGATGAAACTCTTTTCTGAACATACGATTACTGATGATGGGGCATTACTGGTGTGGCAAAACAGATGTCCTATGTGTTTTAAATACTCTTCCGATAATTGTCGGACGTATTTTTCGAAACTGCCAAGCAATTAGAAAACGGGAGTTTTTGTTTCAAAATAAAACTTAAACTTAAACGCCGGAAAAAAGAAATCGCCCAATCTGTATTTTTGGTGGGGCCGCTTTATCGCAGTTTGTGAAGCGAAATGTTCAGAAACCTCCTGCAAGGTTTTCCTCCCGCCCAATCTGAAGATGTTAGTGCAAAAACTAAAGGTGATGATCTCTGGCTTGGTTATAAAAACATGAACAAATAGGGGATCTGACATCCCTTTTTTGTGTTTACGTCCTCAATAAAACGTGAAAATAGGACGTTTCACGTCGTAGTCGTGCAGTGACGGCAAAGAAATGTACAGATAGCGTGATTTACGTGCAAAGTTGTTGTTATGCCAATCTAAACCCATTCTCGCCTTTTTTGCAGTTCTTGTTGCCGTCGCCGTCGTCGTTGGTTACTCTCATTATTATCTCACCCTACCGAGCAAATTGTCGACAGAGCATGCGAATTTCTGTCTTCTTGCAGATTTCCTTCTTGTTTTTTAAACAATTTTTACAATTTGTATATAGTTCTTCCTAAACTTCAAAACAATTAGGAAAGAGGAAGTTTTGTTTAGCAAATTAAACTTCATCTTAATAACAGGCAAACTTGTCCAACAATTTTCCCCGCCTCTTACAGTTAAGTCATAATTAAACAAACGAAAATGTTTTTTTTGTAGTTGTTTTAATGTTTTTGTTTTTATCTATCGAACACTTCCTAAAGGTTTTGTAAAACTACATTGACTTTCTTCTGCTCCACCTCAATCTTGGCAAATTCTGGTTTAACCTGCCATCAGTCGGTCCTTCTTCCGTTTTTGTTCGGGAGGCGTCCGCTGACATTCCCCGAAAAAGGATCGCCTGATAGCAGATTCTTTCTGGTTCGAATCGAGACCACCGTCTTTTTGGAGCCATTCAGTAGAAATGTAAAATCATAATTGATTCGATTTCGGGGAAATCAAAGGTTTCGTGTTCGTTTTCGTGTACCAGTTTTATTCCCTTCAGCCTCGGAGCCAAATATGAATTTTAATAGATCGCAACTGACCCATTTTCTCTCTTTTGTTTGTGTTTTTGAGTCTAAAGTTCCCCGTCACGCATTTTTAGAAGTCACGGACAAAAAAAATGAAGTTCTGCTCGTGCAGACGCTTAGTCACTGAGTCGTATAGTCGTGATCGACGGAAACAAAATGGTGCAATCGTTACTATATTACAAGTGTAGGAAAGAGGTTTTAAAGCTTTGTTATCTGGAGGATGTTTTCATCGGGTGTTTTCATCTTCTCGGTGGCTTTGATAAGAGCGTGCGTGTGATTCTGCTTTAATTTCGTCTGCTACTTCCTTTTGTTATTTTCCTATTTATCTGTAGGGGTGGGTGAGGAGGTAAAGCACAATGCTTCATATTTTATTTATTGACGGATTTATAAAAGTTTTGACAACTTTCGTGTTTCATTACAATGCATAAATTATTACTCCGAGACAAATTGTTTTTTAAATCATTGATTCTAACGAGAACTACAACAATCTCTATTGTTCATTTTTATTGTTATTCTATTGTATCTTTTTTTATTGTAAGTTTAACATAACACGATTTTACATTTGTTATTGTTTCTTGTTGTTGTTGTTGTCGTTTTTTCATATCGTTTATTATTTCCAGATGGATTGTTTTGAAGCTCTCTTTAGTTTTGTTTCGTAAATGCATTTCGTATTAAGCCAATGATCGTGTGTCGGATGTGTTTCATCTTCCAGCAGTAGATCACAGGATTAAGCGACGAATTAAGGAACTCCAGTGTCAGAGTGTAAAACGGTAAATACTTTATGCCAGTGCTTGGTACAGGAGTACCCAACGAATCCGCTCCTCAAAATATCCGCTCCTCAGGCTAAGAATTTTCTGGCTGGTAACTAACTAATGGATGAGAAACTCTAGCTGGGAATTTTGCCGAAACGCTTATCTTGCTGTGGTTGTCCCTTTGCATACCGATGCTGGCTCGGCCAAAAAAAAAAACCCTTCCCCTCTGGCTTCCTGTGGCTTGTGAAAGTGTGCTCTGGCTAATTTGTTGGCCGGTTATTTTTTGGCTGAAGTAAAATGACACCTAGTAAGGAAATTTCAAAGATAGCGCTGGCTGTGAGTGACAACTACGGTGCACCGCAGGCTAGTGCAAAGTCGAGCGCGTGTATACAATTGTCACTAAATTGATAGAAAATTGAAAGGGACAAAAGGCGTGTACAAAATGTTAACTGAATACGTCAGTTATTAAAACGCTGTCAGCAAACAATGCAATTTCCCTGTCTTTTGTTATGGTGTCAGTGTGGGATTTTGACAGAGAACTCATAATATTTATTGCGCAAGGAATGCCATCTGAGGAGTGGCGGTCATAGTCGCAGTGGTTGTTTTGTGTCTCCATTTTGTGTGATTCAACTGAATGTTTACGGGTTTTGACAATTTCTGCTACATCCAAACTCTGCTGATTTCTAGGTAAGTAATCTTTTCTCTACGTCCTTGCTTTCAACTTAATACCTTTTGCAAGTTTTGGTAAGTTGCCTTATGGTCTCAACGGTCTTTTTGCATTTTATGATCAATTTTTAGTGCATCCTTCCAGAGCGGGCAGGGTCACTGTTCCGGTAGCCTGGTTAAGAGATCATCGTAAAAATAAGTCCAGCAGGTAAGAATGCCTTTTGCTTTTATCCCGATTATGTTACAGTATGCACCTCTATTTATAACCGTTACTGTTCAGAGACAACATTTTTGTTTGACTGTAGCACATAATGCCTTTTCCTGCTAAACGGAGTAATATGTGTAGTTACTTACTGGCGAAAATATAGCCTACGCGTTTGTGTCTTGATTACCGGTAATATGGATTTCTCTAAGCAAATGGAAGCGAACCGTTCTTGCCGCTAAAGCCACCCCAAATAGACTTAGTTAGTCTTGTTACTTATCTACTATTAGAGGATAATTTACTGTGGAAAGTAACAAAAAAATACATTTGCCTAATCAGAGCGATTTTGCTACTAAAGTGTTTTGCTGGTATCGATCATTCTGGACAACATTTCATAAGGCGCATCCCTTCCGATTAACCTCAGATGTTTTTATCTGTTTGGTGTATTGCTTGACCAGATACATCTAGGCACGCTTCGGGATTCAACACCAATAAGTCGTTTTATGGATGTAGAACTGCCAAAGTATCAAAGCCTTTTTGAACAGGCTCCCTTGTTTTCTCTCGCTTGCCTTTTCTTTTACAAGTAGCCTGTTCACATGCTAATCGTCAATCTCTGGCACAACACCCTTCAAAATTTGTTATTACACGAGGACCAAGTGTTGCAGGGATGTTTGTTCTTATTTGTATGTTATAGTTATATAATATTTGTATGCTATTCTTAGTTAGCGAAATGAAGTCATTCAGTGCAGATTCTAACTGAGACAAATTTAAAAGAGCCATAACTGAAAGAACCATAAATTTTTAAAGTAATCTATGCGTCACTATTGTATTTTCCGGTATTCACAAGGCAAAACAAATACATGTTGTATTTCCAGTATTTCCCATCAGACGGGAATTGGTGAGAAATTCCTTTTTTTAGCCAACGGGAGCAAACGAGTGCATAAGGCCAATGTCTTAGTCTTCTATAATACTATGTTGTTTCTGGATAGACAGAGTTAGTTGTCGGTGCGAATACTGTATTGATCAATACCCACAAATGGCAACGGAAAGGAACGGCAGCCGGCAGACAGATGGTTTGTTACGTTATAAAATTTGCGTTGGAAACGAAATTATTAAGAAGGCACAACTGACAAAAAATATGGCCCTAGTCAAAACTGGATAAAATAGCTCACTGTTATAGGCTGTGTTTTCACTGGTGTTATTTACTAGCTGAACATTCTTTCTAAGCGTGACATTTCTTTTCACTGTGAAATTGAACCAGGAATTTATAGGTCACTTCTCCGCAAGATAGCCGTTGCAGTTTTCAAAACTGGTCGGGGACGAACCATGTTGAATGATTTCTCTTGTATTCGTTCTCGCTTTATTTTATATGCAGAAGACGAAGTTACTGTCAGAGAATGTACCTTAGTAGGTCTGTTCAGAAAAAGGAGGAGGCAATCATGTTGCCGACGGCCAAACACAATTTATTGCCGTGTTTTAAAAGCGTGAGATCACACTGGCTTATCCGATCGGTTCCTGGTCGAGGAACTGGAAAATGTAACAACAAGAAATAAATGAAGAGCCGGATCGTTTAATAGCCACGTAGTTTACGCGGCACTTTGATTGCCAGATTTTTTTTTTTGCAGCTAACTGTCATTATGTGCAGCTCCATTGGGTGCGCTATTCAGCAGGACCAAATTATCATCTCACGAGGCAGTATAAGTGAATTTCCGGTTAAAGAGGCGACATTTTTAATTTGATTTTTTTTTTTTTGGTGAAAACAGCTTGCATTTTTCACTCGCTAAACATAAGACAATGTGTCTTCACTGTATTCCCGAACTCTTGTTTCGGCTTTTTTGTGGTCAAAGTTGCCCACTGAAAAATCACATAAACACACCAAATAATCATTTTAGCAATTAGCTTACAATACTTGATCTTATTGGAGACAAGCTTTGGTTTGGACTGACTGAATTAATGCCCGCTCGCATTTTGTGGATCATGCAGTCCATAGCTTTTCCACTTTTGGAATTGTGTGTGAAGTCACAGCACGGTGGTCATGGTTATAGAAATACACTCGAGAGGAATCGAATTGACATGCAAATATGCTGTGTTTCGCCTGAAATCGGGTATAGATTTTGTCCATTTTGGTATCGTTTTCCGGGGGAACTACGGGAGAGTATGGACGTATTTATCCTTTCGATTCCAAATTAGCAAGAAAGAAAGAAAAATACCTTATTCTTAATGGATTTTGATTTATGGTGACATAATTTCAGCCCAAAAGGCCAGGTCTGAGAAGCAATCTTCCGAGGTAAAATGACCTCGCAGTAGGCTGAACAACACATAACGTCTTGTGTGCTAGAGAATATCAAGCGTGTTTTTTCCCGACGTTGACAATCGAATACTTATAGGTAAAACGGGCAACCAAACTGGGAGATCCTTGTTATTGCTAGTATTGACATGTTATTCCTGCAGTTTGTTCAATTCTTGACTTTCACGTGGGTAAATTTTGCTGTGGAGGATTATTGAATTTTACATTACTTAATATTTTTGCCAGTTGTCTCACAGTGAGGGGAAATAAAGCTTTAAATTGTTT